ACTTTAGTTTTCTGAAATGAAAGTAGCCTAAGTTACTGCTTATTACATCAGCTACCTGCCAAAAATATTCCCATCAAAATCGGTCCAGCCATTTCAGAGCTTAGTCGGAACAAACAGCCAGACAGACAAAAATTGTAAAAAATGATTTTTATATTCATATGTATGTAGTAAAAAATGGTTATTTCAATATTACAAACAGACACTCGAATTTTATTTATATGTATAGATACCACATTTCTTTACAAAATGATTAATCAAAATCCATTTAAAACTAACGAATATATCGCAGGATAATAAATTCTGAATCAAAAGTTTAATTAAAATAATGATCTTTTAAACTTTTAATTTTTATTTTATAGTAACAAACTGACAAGAGGTTTGGATGCTTTTGGATATTGTAAAATATTTACGAAATTTTTACATTCTTTAAACAGATTCCATGTGTGTATTGTTAATTTATTATATGTAAGTTTATTGTATATACATGTGCCATCTATACATATAAATAAAATTGGAGTGTCTGTTTGTAATATTGAAATAACCGTTTTTTACTACATGCATATGAATATAAATACGGTACATACACCAAAATAATATTTTTTAGAATTCTTGTCTCTCTGTCTGTTAGTTCCGGCTAATCTCTGAAATGTCTGGACCGATTTTGACGGGACTTTTATTGGCAGGTAGCTGCAGTAAAAGGAGTAACTTAGGCTACTTTTATATTAGAAAAATAAAGTTAAATTCCACGCGGACGTAGTCGCACTAAAAAACATTTTTTTACCATTTTTGTCTGTCTGTCTGTTTGTTCCGGCTAATCTCTGAAATGGCTGGACCGATTTTGACGGGACTTTTATTGGCAGGTAGCTGCAGTAAAAGGAGTAACTTAGGCTACTTTTTTTTTAGAAAAATAAAGTTAAATTCCACGCGGACGAAGTCGCACCAAAATAACATTTTTTTACCATTTTTTCTATCTGTCTGTTTGTTCCGGCTAATCTGTGAAATGTCTGGACGCTCTTAAATTCCACCCGGACGAAGACGCGGGTACAACTAGCTGTAAATAAATAAACAGTAATAGTCGCTACTTGTCACATTGGCTTATGTACACATTATTAAATATGCATTTAGTAAATAGCAGATCTGTTAGAATTGTAATATTTAGCAATGCTATTTCAGCATGTCCCAATGGGAGACAGGTGTCAAGAAACCGGCATATATGCTTACAAGCAGATATGCGGTGGTTGATGCAAGGACCGCCTCTAACAATAGTTGCTTCTGGCATGTCTCGGATCTCTAACTCAGTGGCGTAGCTACCTAGGGGCTAGGCGGGGCCCCGGGGCCCAGAAAATCTCGAACTGAACTTTACAAAATTTCTCCCATTTTCAAAATAAATATGATAGATTGCAACCCTACTTTAATCATGGCAACTCAGTTGAGAGAAATCCGAAAGTTATACCTTCGGAATTCTCCTAAATTCTTTTTATGGGGTGGCAGTGATGTCAATTTGACGGATAGCGATATGTGCGTTTTAATAAAACTATAATGTAGGGTATATGTACCTGCACCTACTATACTGCTGAGCAGTGGGGTCCCATTTTTTTATTTGCCCCAAGGTCCTTAGTTACTTAACTACGCCACAGCTCTAACTATCTCATAAGGGCTCATACAACATCTTGAACCAATATTTGCGCAATTTTGGGTAACATTATTCATACCTTAGGCAATTTGGTACATTAACTTCCGTCGAAGACGTAATATTTATACCACAAGGAGATAAGCGTGCTATATTACGAGCAATTCACTTTTATCTCCCCATTCTGAAAGTTCATACGCTATGCCGACGGGCTGAATCAATTTCATTTTCACCGCGAAACCACTGGAATTCTTTAATATGATATTTCATATGTCACGCAACACAAGATTTACACGCCTCGGGAGACAAGGAGGTTGCTGTTTAAAAGACAATTTATAGATGTGGCAATATGGCGTCGCAACCGCTAAAAATGTTCTGTTGTTTTTTTGTCGTTTGGGAATATCTTCAATAGACCATCCCCCCGTCAGAAAGGTGACAAGTGAGTATATCTGATTGTTACTCAATATAAAACCATGCGGTGTACCTACGAGCGCCATTGCCGGAGTCGTAAGGTCTCGTTAGCATTTTACCAGGTCTGTTCTGTAGATGGTGTAGTGTAGACTTCATCTCGTTGTTAGAGCGACCTGTAAGATGATAATGATCTAAGATGATACGATGATGCATTTATTTACCATTCAAATTCAAATTCAAAAATCATTTATACATGTAGAACATTTTAGCCGCTTCTGAATTTTTTTATATTATAATTTCCGTTCAGTATATTGATAGATCCAATTGAGAAGAACTGGGAAGAAACTCCATTGAATTACTTTTTTTTGAAGCTAGTTTATTTACAATGTATATAGGTGTCATTAAATGGAAATCCCGTGCATGATCAACTGTTGCCATTCAAATACAAATATTGTTCTAAAAGTATATCATAGTACAAAATGTTTCTAAAATCTAGCTACGAAATTTAAACCAAAATTTACAGCATTTAAAAGCGCTTGACATGAATATATCATCAGATTTGTGACCATTACAGAAGTAAGATAGCAATTGTTTTCAAAAACCGAAAGAAAAGAAGAAAATATCAAGTTGTTTAACAATATTATACAAATTCCTAAACCGCAATCTGGAGCTACGAGTATAAAACCAAACAATGAAGTTTTATAAAATACTTTCCTTCTGTTTTTTTTTTATGAAACATAATGCAAGAAGACTTTATTACCGCCCATGCCTCAATTAAATTTAATCCAAAATACGAGGTAGGAAGATATTTGCGGGTCTTTTGTTTTTGCTCTGCCAGCATGAATTTATTAAAAGCTGATTAAAAATCTGCTCCACGTTGCGACCGTGTATGCACCCTACAGCGAAGCTCTGTATTAATGAAGCCCTGTAGAGCAGACTTCGTGTAATAAAGTAAGATTAGAGTCATTCCAAAGCCGATTTGGAGCTTGAGCTGCCAGCCGTCCCTAGGAAGATATGCGCTTTTGAGAGGTACGCTAGTGGAGCAAGTCTTGTAACCTTTGCGGATTAGTTGTTATTTTCTGAAGATAAATACGTATTAATGGAGTTAAATTAGAAAGGTTTCGTAGCTAAACACTTGAACATTGGAAAAAGAAAAGAAAAAACATCTTAAGTTTCCATTAGCAGAGTAACGAACGATTTTAATCTCAATAAACTAGTTTTACCTAAGTGTTCGCGCCATTTATAAACATATCAAGTGGTATGGTATTATTCCCCATATCCTAATCCCTTTCCCGCGCACAGTATGTCAACTGAGGTCGCCCGACGACCTCGTCTACTAACGTGAATGGTGACATCTCGTCCCAACCGCTCCGCTTTAAATTAATTGTTGTGAAGTCAAAGCGCCTACTTATTTTATTTACGCAAATATTACACTTTTGCGATTTGTGCTCATACAATTTTGTAGTTTTTATTAAGTTAAAAATCTAGAAGTCGTACAAGTTACTCTGCGTCTTTAATTTCATTATTCCCGAAAATCCGCTGTGATTACTTCAAAACATGGTCCTATATCGAAGCCTGATGTGAATTAAATGCGGATCAGTTATTATTTTGTGGAATTAAATCGAAATACAAGAAATAAAAGAGAAATTAATTGGATGCAAGTTGACCGGCAGAACTACCTACCATTGGATGTGAATCGAGTGTAATTTATAGTGGTGTTAAGTATAAATTACTATATAATAAACTTATCCCAACACTCTACAGGTAATATTATAAGTAAATCAAAAACTTTATTAAGGTTAGTAAACGATAATTACGTTATTTATCTGTATCACATTATTTTAACTTCATTAGTTTCCTACCTACTGCATTGTGAATAATATTAGTACTTTTTCATAATTTGCTAAAATTAACTACAAATCATACTTAATTAAGTATAGTAAGCACTAATGCTATATTGTTTGAGTTAATTATCAGAATATATGCCTTATAATTGCAAATTTCAATAGTTATTCACGTCAGTTGTATGTAAGTAAAGTAGGTATAACTAATTCTTTTGTGTTAAATGTTACTTTGGTGTTTGGTGTTTAATTTTATTGTCAGGTTCTATATTATATTATAAATGTAGGTACTTAAGGAATCTGTACATTTATGTTAAACAAATAATTTGCCGTATGTACGACAGCAAGTTAAGAAACAATCTAGTATTTTCCTCCCTCCTTCTCAGATGTCCCTCTCATTCCACTTCCTTCTATTCCAAATTCTTTTCTGTCCAGGCTGTCAGGTTATGCAACGCACTCCCCCCTTGCATTCGGAGCATTCAGTCACTTGCTAGTTTCAAAGTCTCTGTCAAATCCCACTTTCTTTCCCTTTAAGTTCATATTGTCCTCTTTCTCATAGTTCCCTTCATATTTTCTGAAGATATGTGCATTATTAAGTATATGTATGTTTACGTATGAGTTTATTTTATTATATATATTAATAGATATATTTATGTACAAATGTATATTTATGTTCATTACGTGCACCACCTACTATTTTCTTATCTTAATGTTACTTTCTCTACTGGTAGTCTGGAAGAGATTGCTTAGCGATAAGACCGCCTTTTGTATCAGTTTATGTATTATATCATTTTGTGTGTTTTCTTTGTCTGGTGCAATAAAGAGTTTAAATAAAATAAATAAAATAAATAAAATAAATAAATAAATATTTTCTCTATTAATGTCAATTTGAATCGGTACTTATGCTTGTGCATATGTAATATATGTAATGTCACAACATTTACAGTACATTTACTAGATTTATATAATATACATATAAATATATTTCTTTATCGAATTAACATATTGTTAGCTTAATATTTTGTATTCATACCTACTGATCGTAGATTTTTATTTCATTAATTAGAATTAATTTTTTAATTGTATAAATTCCAGGTCGACAACACTCGAATCCCATAATGTCCGAAGAAAAGGAGTTAATAAAAAAGCGAGGCAGTTTTAAAGGCCGTTTAACTGCATTTATTAATTATTTGCATACACTAACTGATGAACCGTTAAGTCTCTCGGATGCCAGAGAATTACAATTACGTATGGGTAAAATTGAGTCGTTGTATGAACAGTATGATCAGGTACAGTTGCGCCTTGAATGTATAGTTGATAATAGTGAAGAGCAATTTAAAGAGCGCTCCGAATTTGAATCACAATATTTCAAGGCAATCGCGAAAGCCCAAGGTTTACAAAATGTTAATGTTGAGACTATGAGCAATATGGGCAGTGATGGAGGTACTCGAGCGAGCAATAATCATAGGCTGGTGCGTCTTCCGACCATCCAGCTACCGCGATTCAGTGGTTCATACGATGATTATTTGGAATTTAGAGACACCTTTACTAGCCTTATACACAACAATGATGAAATAGACGAAGTGAATAAATTTCACTATTTGCGTGCATCGTTAGAGGGTTCTGCTGCCGTGGTAATTCAATCAGTTGAGTTTTCATCTAGTAATTATGCTGTTGCGTGGAAACTTTTGTGCGATAGGTTTGACAACAAACGTCTGTTGATACAAAATCATGTGTCTTCTTTGTTCAATGTGGAAGCAATAACAAAGGAGTCATCAGCAAATTTAAAGCGGTTAATTGATCAGGTAAATAAAAACTTGCGGGCACTTGAATCATTAGGTGAACCTGTCAAACATTGGGATACCCTTTTAATCCATATTATTACCCATAAATTAGATAGTAAAACTTATAGAGAGTGGGAGGAATTTAAGGGGCATTCACATAAAGATACTTCAATTACCTTTGACACCTTTCTAGAATTTATCCGAAATCGTGCAGATTTGATTGAAACATTAGAGCTTTCACGTGTTAATCAGGGCAATTTAAATCATAAATCGACTATGAAATTAAAATCTATGGTTTCAGTTCATGGCAGTCATCCACATCAGAATTCCAATACAGCAGAATCACATAATCGAATCTGCCCTAAGTGTAAGGGTGACCATAGTCTAACCGGTTGCCCCCAGTTTCTTGCGTTGAGCGTTGAAGCGCGCCTAAAGGTACTACCCAGTTTTAAGGTATGTTTCAATTGTTTTCGTGTAGGTCATTTTGCTAATCTATGCAAAAGGCCAGGTTGCAAAATATGCAAGCGTCGACACAACACTCTGATTCATGCAGCCAATGATCATCATATTCGTAATGAAAATAGAGTCGTATCTGAAACTACACCTTTAGCGTCGTCTTCAACGACTGCTGCTTCTGACAATGTAACTTTAGCAGCAAATATGTCTAGTTATAATAAAATTCAATGAGATGTATTATTATCTACTGCGTTGGTAAAATTATATGACAAGAATAATCACGAACATATAGTACGTGCAATATTAGACAGTGGTAGTACATCAAGTCTAATGACTGAGAGATTGTGTCGACAATTAAATTTGGAAACCTGTCAGGTAGATAAGTCAATCATGGGTGTAAATAACTTTACGCGTAGGCAAAACTTGTCATGTGCACATGACGTCGTTGAATAACAGTTTCTCTTCTGAGCTTCAATGTTATGTTTTGCCATCAATCACAAGTAATGTACCCGGTCACGAAATTAATATTTCTAATATTGACATCCCTACTGACATTAGTTTGGCGGATCCTACGTTCTTTGTACCAGCAGATGTTGATATCTTGATTGGTGCCGATCTCTTTTGGGATTTGGTAGGGACGCGGAGAATAATACTAGGTAAGAAAAAGCCTGTATTGTGCGAAACCAGATTAGGGTGGATAATTTCAGGTCCTATCTTTAGTCATCATGACACAATTATGCATTTAAATGATATAAAATGTAATTTTAGTAAAATTGATTCTAGTGCAAGTCATGATTTGGACGACATTCGAGCTGACTTGACACGATTCTGGCAGCTGGAAGAGATATGCTCCAAATCAAATTATTTTCCGGAAGAAAGAATGTGTGAGGAACATTTTGTTGCGAACACAACGCGCCTCGATGACGGTCGTTTCTGCGTCCGTATACCGCTTAAACATGATTCTTCTGTTTTAGGTAATTCGTTTCATCGAGCGGAACACTGTTTATTTTCTTTAGAGCGTAGGTTGACGAGCAATCTTGAATTGAGAGATATGTATAGCAACTTCATGACAGAGTATAAATCGCTTGGCCATATGTCAGAATATAAACAGCCTGAGGTAGATAAAAAGGAATATTTCATTCCTCATCACGGTGTTATGCGAGATAGTAGCACGAGCACCAAACTCCGTGTTGTATTTAATGCCAGTTCTCCTACGACCTCAGGTGTTTCTTACAATGACATCCAAATGATTGGTCCCACCGTCCAAGATGATTTGATATCCATATTGCTTCGATTTAGGCAGCATAAATATGTTTTGTCTGCAGATGTTGAAAAAATGTACAGACAAATAATTGTCCACCCGTCTGATAGACATCTGCAGCAAATACTGTGGCGTAGTAATGTAGCTGAGCCAATTACAAAATTCATATTGAACACGGTCACATATGGAACATCCAGTGCTCCATTTCTGGCTACACGCTGTCTAAAGCAGTTAGGAATCAACTGCAAGGATGATAAAATTTCCGAGATCATTCAACATGATTTTTACGTTGATGATCTATTAACGGGCGGTAACGATTTGGCTGAAGTTCAAGCTATACGTAAGCAAGTTACTAATGTACTTGCTTCTGCATGTATGCCATTAAGAAAATGGAAATCGAATAATCCTCTTTTGATGATTGATCCTCAGGACGTTCAAGCATCATCATTCGATTTGAATATTGGGAGTGATGAGCCAAATAAGTTATTAGGTCTTAGTTGGCACACAGATTCTGATGAACTCTGTTTCCCAATAAGTTCTCTAGTTCCTAATGGTAATACAAAACGTGATATTCTTTCGATGATTGCTCGAATTTTTGACCCATTGGGACTTTTGGCTCCATGCATAATTAATATGAAAATATTGTTACAGCAGCTTTGGATTAAAAAATTAGCTTGGGACGAACCATTAACTGATGATATTAATCGTCATTGGAATTACATTCGTAAAACTTTGCCTCTTTTGAACGATCTTCGTGTACCGAGGATTGTTATTTGCGACTCCTGTAAGTCGTTAGAGTTGCATGTTTTTTCGGACGCTTCAGAGCGTGCATATGGAGCTTGCATTTATTTGCGTAGCGTCAGTACTTCTGGTGAAGTTATGGTTCGGTTGTTAATGGCTAAGAGCCGAGTAGCTCCTATTAAGCCTACCACAATACCTAGGTTGGAACTGTGCGGTGCGTTGATGGGAGCGCGGCTATATGATAAGGTCATCACGTCGCTTAGATTGGGAATAGATCAAGCTTACTGCTGGACAGATTCCACCATAGTTTTAGGTTGGTTACGTATGCTGCCTTCTAGACTTCAGCCTTTTGTACGTAATCGTGTTGCTGAAGTCTTAGAAAGGACAGAAAATTGTACATGGCGACACGTACCAACTGATGAAAACTCAGCAGATCTAATATCTCGTGGTGTGGATATTAAACTGCAAGGTTTAAACTTATGGTGGTCTGGTCCGCAATTTCTCATGAATGACTTGTCAAAGTGGCCTACGCAACTGAAGTGTGTTGAAGTTCTCCCAGAAATTAAACCAGACATATCTCTAAATGCTATTGTTATTAACAATAACAATTCCTGTGGGCTCATTGAATTTAGTCGCTTTTCTAATTATTTAAGACTATTGCGATCAGTTGCCTATGTTTTAAGATTTATCAAATATTGTAAAAAGGTACTTGTAGTATCAAATTTTTTAGAAGAGGTAGACTTACGCGACGCCTTAGTTTTAATTATTTCAAATAGTCAATATGAATCCTTTCCCGAGTACAAGTTACTGTTAAATAATGATAATTTGCCAAAAAACAGTCAACTATTAAAACTGAACGTCTTTATGGACGAAAATAAATTAATGCGCGTCGGAGGTCGTATTGATAATTCAAATTTTTCACAAGATAAAAAACATCATATAATTTTACAGTCCAGTCACATTTTTACAAAATTATTATTTATTTATGAGCATAAACGGTTAATGCATGCCGGTCCTCAATTGTTGCTAGCATCTATAAGAGAAAGGTATTGGCCTATAGGCGGGCGAAATTTAGCGAAAACCTGTTATCACAATTGTATCAGATGTACACGCATGAAGGGTAAAATTGTAACCCCCTTGATGGGAAATTTACCACGGCAGCGCCTACTTTCTGGTGGCTATCCCTTTGAAACGGTCGGTGTCGATTATGCCGGACCTATTATGTCCGCTAGTCGACAAGGCCGCGGTTGTAAGCTAGTAAAGGTTTATATTTCAGTTTTTGTTTGCTTCACTACTAAAGCTATTCATTTAGAGTTGGTAGGCGATTTAACTAGTAATAATTATATACTTGCTTTACGTCGATTCATTTCGCGAAGAGGTAAACCTGTCAATATATATTCCGATAACGGTACCTCATTTGTGGGTGCATACAACGACATTTCAAAATTTCTAAAGACGAATTGTAATTCTTTAGGCGAAAGTGCAGCCTGTGATGGCATTGACTTCCATTTTATTCCGGCGTATGCTCCTCATTACGGAGGTTTATGGGAAGCGGGTGTAAAGTCGACAAAATACCACTTACAGAGAGTGTTGGGTAATTGTACATTAACCTATGAAGAGCTTAACACCACTCTCATACAAATTGAAGCAGTGCTGAACTCTCGACCCCTGACATCACTTTCTTCGGATCCTGCGGACTATAATCCATTAACCCCAGGCCATTTTTTAATTGGGCGGTCTCTGACTTCTTTGCCAGACCGAGATTATCAAAGACATTCCACAAATAATTTAACACGGTTTCAACGCATTGAGCAATTACGACAACATTTTTGGGCTAGATGGAGCAAAGAGTACATTGCAGAATTGCAACAACGTGTTAAGTGGCGTACTTGCAAGGATAATTTAAAATTGAATACGTTGGTAGTAATTAAGGAGGATAATCTTCCGCCATTAAAGTGGAAATTGGGAAGAGTTGTGGGAGTTCATCCTGGTCTTGACGGCATAGTACGGGTTGCTGATATCCGGACATCCACTGGAGTTATTCGGCGAGCCTTTAGCAAAATCTGCCCATTACCAGTATCATCGGAGTCTCATTGAAAGCGCAACTTTCAATGCCGGGGGGCATGTTGTGAAGTCAAAGCGCCTACTTATTTTATTTACGCAAATATTACACTTTTGCGATTTGTGCTCATACAATTTTGTAGTTTTTATTAAGTTAAAAATATAGAAGTCGTACATGTTACTCTGCGTCTTTAATTTCATTATTCCCGAAAATCCGCTGTGATTACTCCAAAACATTAATTACTATAATAATTGACATTAAAAATAAGTAACTTTGTGTGCGTGCCTGTGTTAAACTTAGTATTCATCGAGTGCAGCAGCTGTGCAAGAATAAACCCGCTCTACAGTCGCAGGTACGTACTGTGCGCCCCCTTTATTTCAATTCCATACAGTCCACTTACCTTACCCGCTATCCCCCATTTTTCCATGGTACGCCTTCGAACCGGATACCTACCGCTTAAATACTATAATTAGGACGAGATTTACATCCCCGCATTGATAGGTACATAATTTCATTATATTATACCGCCCGCTATAGGCCATACCGCTTCTTTGTACCTATTCGTATATTCACCCGCGCATACGCATTTTCTGTACTTAATATATTAGTACGCCATACCTATAAGCCTAGTCTTGGGTATATTTTCTAATAATTACCGCTTAATTAATAATAATACTTTATTATTTGTATAATACATATTACGCAGTAATCGTACATACCTACCTACATTAATTTGTATTTTTCAACGCCAATAATCGTAACGATAATGGAGTCGAATTTAAAAATGCTAGAAGCTAAAAACAGAGCTATATTTCAACGTATTACAAGATTGCGTGATACTTGTAAAAATCTGTCACCGTCGTCAATCGACTTACGCTCCGCAGAGGCATTCATGGCGGACAACCATTGATATACTGCGCCATGAATATATACAAAATTTAGATTCTATGAACGAGTTACAAATGCAGTTGAATCCTAAATTTGAACCTGATTACCAGGCACTTTTAACGTTTGAAGATATTTTTAGTCGAATAAAAAGATGTCGTTTAATATTAAGCGAAGCTAATAAGCCTTCGTGTTCACAATCGGTACCGCATAATAAATCTAGTATCAAACTAGAACCTCTCTGTATTCCTTGTTTTGACGGGAATATGTCCACGTGGTCTA